TGCAGCTCTGATCCACAGCTACGGGAAACGCCTGGTTGAGGTGATTGCTGCCAAGGGGGGTCAATCAGTTACTGATTCCAAGGGTTCACTTTCTTTTCCCATTAGCATTTTGAATGTTGAATGAGTGTGTTCAGTAAAGACATGGAGGACCAGAATTGGTTTTGTGTATTTTTTTAGACACGTTGTATTTGTCAATACTCTTGACTTAGATGATACTTAGATCACATTTTATGACAAATTAATGTAGAATACCATGCAATTCCAAAAGGTTCACATACTTTTTCTTGCAACTGTATGTGTATTTTAAAGTTCTTGTTTGACAATGTCTTGCAGACAAGACAACTCATGTGTTGAATTTTGAACATTAAATATTTTAAATCTTTTCAGTTTGAATTACCCCTTTTTTGACTCAGTCACTCATTACAAAATTAGATACTGCCTGTACTTAGTTTTGATTTACTGTTGAACTAGATGAACAGTAAATCATGCTGCAACTGGCATTAGTCACCACAGAAAATGCACTGTTTGATAAAATAGCCCAGTGCGTTTTTCTGGATAGTTGTTAATTTTGCAATGCACATTCTTGAGTTTTGTATTTAAAAAAACCACCCCAAAACAAACAACCAAAGCAAACAATCCCTCTTCCACGACCCAAACAACAATCAAAATCCAGAATATTCTACATGCTAGGCCAGTATTATCCAGTGTGTGATGTAGTTGAAAGAATTGCATTGCCCTGTGATTGAGAAATTTGTTGTATTGTGATGGCGTGCTAATCGGTATTTTGGCTTTATTTTAGCTCTCGGTATTTTCACTGGAAGCTGAACCTGTGTGTCATTTTACTCATCCTGGTCTTCATGGTACCCTTCTACATTGGTTACTTTGTTGTGAGCAATATTAGATTATGTGAGTACCTAGTTCATGGCAACGGGCCTTCTAAATTAAGACTACACATACAAATAAGAAAGAACTCTTCTGAGAGAGAGAGAGATGTGTTGGTCACTATCCTTAGATCCCCCCTTCATCTGGCTTTGTTCTGGCTAGGTAGCTTCTATTTGGAACTTCATACTGTAACATCAACTGTTTATTGAGCAAATAGGAAATACTTTACCTGACTCAAACAAATGCAGGTTTCTTTATGGGTTTTGATCAAGTTGAGCACATTGTTCCTTTACAATTTTAAGCTTGCAGCCAAACCCTGGAACGCTTACCAAGGCTGTGGTGTTCTGCTTGGAAGTAAAAGAAATGATACAGAGAAGACGAATAAATCACTTGAGACTGAAAAGCTCAATAGATTACTTATTCTTTTTTTTTTGCTTACTACTAACTGGATGAGGCCTCTTCCATGCACTAATAGACACTTATCCCTGAACTACTGATATTCATTGCTCTTTTATATGAAGCTTAGACATGTAGGTTGAGAGTATTAAATAAGTAGTTCTGGCATGAAGTTAAGTTTTCAGGTTTGATATTCAGAGTCACATAAGAAAGATGCAACTGAGAGGTCCCCTGCTCGTAGCACAGCCCTTGTCACACGTCCATGGGGAAAAGTCCAGGTGGTGTGTCGCTGCATTAGCTCTTGCAAATGGTGGTCCATCAAAGAGCTGGTCTGTAGGAAGTGCAGGGGTGGGTACAGGTGTTAGCTGTAGCTCTGGTCAGTTGGCCCCTGCTTTGGCCATCTGTGCTCCAAACAGCCTTTGGACTAGTGTAGCAATTTTGCAAGCTAGAAAAAGGCCTGAAGGAAGCACGTCTTTAAAATACTGTGATTTTTTTCCCCTCTCCGTTAGTGCACAGACAGAAACTGCTTTTTGCGTGTGTTCTGTGGTTGACATTCATGTATTTCTTCTGGAAGCTGGGGGATCCATTTCCTATCCTCAGTCCAAAACATGGTGAGTTTTATATTCCTGTTGATTCCTTCCCTCCTGAAAATAGGCTTTGTTATCTCACCTTTATCTTGGAGCTGTTACTATGTTATCTCAGCTCTACAGCTGGGACTGTAGAAAGTAGTTCTTGCAACTGAAGGCCTGCTTTGCTTTGAAATCTGCAATATGAAGGTTGTCAGATACATCTGAATTATTTGCGTTAGTTTTCTTCCAGTACCACGGGAAAACTTTAGGGAAGTGAATGAGTCCTAAATGAACCTAGACTATGTAAGAACACAGCATGCTTTCTGGGGACACAAAAACTTGATCTCCGCAAAAAGTTAATCACACCTTTTATTCATTTGTTTCTTTTCTTGTCGAGCCTAAAGCTAATTTATATAAGAAGAGAATTGACAACCAGTCCTTCATGTGACTTTTCAGTCAGGTTATTGTTTCTTGTGACTGAAATCCCATCAGTTTAGCATAGATGGCTGTCCAGCTGACAAAACGTGGCAGGGTACCTAAACACCAGAGCTGTACAGACTGTAGCCAGCATCACGTCTGGCAGAGCACGCCAGCTTTGGTTCAGCTTTCGTACACTGCCTGAGCCCAGAGGCAGCATGGTTACGTGGTGCTAGAATGTGAGTTGGTCAGTCCTGCTGGGTGCCAGAGCTATTTATGTACAGATTTAGCTTGGGTTTGCAGTCATGGAATCAAGAGTGCCTATAGTGCAAAGGTACTGCATGCACTTGGGCTAGTTTGGGCCCAACAGAGCTTGTTAGCATGCCGCCAACTGTATTAAATCCTTTAGGCACCAGAGTGTGGCAGAGGATTCTAACACTGTAGAACCAGACTAACTCTCACCTGAGTTTGCTGTGTAACTGATGTGGCCCTTATCACCTGCACTGGAGAATTGTTTGTATATTGTTTGCAACAGGTGAAATTCAGTCAGGTCCAGTGAAACTGATGAATGTGTCTGTCTGCATAGATAAAGGTCAGGTTAATTTTTTTGTCCTCTAGGAGGATACTTCGTACTAATCTGTAAGAGAGAAATCGAAGGATACCAACTGTTGTAGGATCCTCTCACCCTTTCATCTGTGATCCTAAAACTTTCCTAAGAGAAAGTGTGTATTTGTCTTTTATAATTGTTTAATTTGACACTGAAATACTACAGTTAGTATATAGTGCAGATGCCTCTGGCCAGTGTTTCACTGGCAAGAAAAAACTTTGAGCTGCAGAAGGTGCTTGAATTGGCAGAATATAATAACCCAATGGGAATTTAGCTGTGGGGTTTTGGTAATCCTCTTCAGGTCACTGAAAAGGTTCTGTGAAGCTGCATAATATCTGCAGATTTCCAGAACTGATAGCGGGGTGTTTCCTATTTTTAACTTCTGCATTACAAGATGATACTTCCACTGAACAGTTGTTCAGTACCTTATCCTACCAAGTGTAGACATAAGGTTAGAGCAAAGGATTCTAATTTTGTTGTTTTTTTCCCCTGCTGGGGTGCTGTTGCCCTGCATGTAGGGGTGAGGCTGCTATGGAGCTTTATCATGTGACAGTGGCTCAATTCAGACAGGTGGGTTTGGTTTGTGAAGGGAGATGTGACAGGAGGCCACACTCAAGGAGCCCCTTACCCTGTGGTGTGTTACCTGCAGTGCCTTTCTTGGTCTGCCCCACTCTGCTCACCTGCATGTACGGTGGGGTGTTGCAGCTGGGGAATTGGGCTGGCTGGTGGGGTCCTTTCAGGTATCTGCACTGGCATCCTGCGTCAGGGGGTACCCTGCCTGGGGATGGGGATGGCAGGGTGCTGAACTTCAGAAATGCACCGTCAGTCAAGGGCTCTGAGTCAGGAGGGACCTGGCCAGTCTGTAGCTTGTTTGATAGACCTGAGTTTGGGAGCTCACAGTAGAAGCAAGGTTATGCTTTACTCACTTACATACTAGTATTCTAACAAAACCTCCTATCTTTACCTGTGTTGATAAAACATTGATTTTTATCTGACCCCATCACAAGAGTAGGGTTGCTGCGAGTGTTATGGAGAAGCATTGCTTTAACCAGTGGAACGTCATGTCATTTTGAAGGCACCTCTGCTTTAACTGCTGCTCTCTGATAGTGTGTGGGGCAAAAGACCAGCATATTGTAGCACATTCTGTAGCTCGTGTAAATCTCTATGCAGCTGCACATGACTGGGTGTCTCAGTCTGCCTTTGTGAAATCTTTTTGCCTTGTTTTCATCATTTATTCCCCTTCTCTGAAGCATGAAATGTGGCTTGGCACTTGGCCATCTCAGCTTTGCAATCATGTAAGCTCCAAATGTGCTGCGTGTGGCAGCTGCTCTGTAACTGGCTCCCTAAAAAGTGTCTGATGTTTAGTAGCACATGGCACTGTACTCTGAGAAGACAGGTTGAGGTCTGTGTTTAGTGGCTGAGAAGAATAAATGCAACTTTATTGCTTGGCATTGGTTACAGCCTAGGCTTGGTGTTCTTGCTGTATTACATGAATATATGTTTTAGAGTCTACTTGGTGCTCAGGTGGAATGCCTTGTTGGTCACTTCAACAATGTGTGTGTGTGTGTCCACGAGATGAATACTGAACAGCCAGGAGTAGCCTAAGCTTCCCATGCTGTCCTAACTCCACTGTCTTACAAGCACAAATTGTGACTGAGCTGGAGGAGTCACTTCTAATGAAAATTGTCAGGATAGAACTTCATCTCTCCAGTTCAGACATTTTTGGGCCAGTTTGCCTGGGCTAACTGATGTGGTAACACTATTTCTAGTTATTGCAGAAGTGGCTTTGTGGAAGAGGCCTCCTTTATAGTGTCTGGCGTATGATTTGTGTTCCCACCTCGGCAAAGTGCAATCACTAATGTTTTATTAATTTAGAATCAAAATATCGACTGTTAGTACTCTCCAGATCTGTCTTAAGCTTCTTCATAGCTAGTTTCCAATCTGTTTCTAAGCACGGTAACATGCTTTCCGAGGGAGACTTTCTAGCTTTTTCTTTTCGCAGTCCCTCTCTGTACTTCATATTAGCCCTGGTCATTGTGGTGGGAAGGCAGTCGGATTCATTAAGCAGCTCTGCATGGATCTTGTATTATGAAGGCAGCAAGTGTGGAGCAAAATGAAGAGGTCAAGGTTACTAATGTTGTGTTTTTCCTTTCTCAGGAATCCTGTCTATAGAGCAGCTTATCAGCCGTGTGGGTGTGATTGGGGTGACACTCATGGCTTTGCTGTCAGGATTTGGTGCTGTCAACTGTCCATACACTTACATGTCCTACTTCCTCAGGTAACTGCAGTCTTGTGAAATATTTTGTCCACCTTTTTGTAATTGTTCTTCTTCTGATGTGGCATTGATTCAATTTTTTTTTCATAACTTTGTTTCTGAATCTAGCTATTGCTATGTCTGCATGCTAGAACCATTTCCATTGCTGAAGCATAATCTGCTTATACAGGCTTCTCTCTTCTTTGTTTCATGAGCATGTGCATATTTCCTCTGCGATGGGATAGCAGGTCTGATAGAGTATCTTCATTTTGCAGGAATGTGACAGATGCAGATATTCTGGCTTTGGAGCGACGACTCCTTCAGACCATGGACATGATTGTTAGCAAGAAAAAAAGGTGAGAAGGCAGCAGTAGCATGACATGATTTGTTTCAAGGATTTTCAGTCACTATGGTACAAGATGCATCTTGAAATTACCAAAATTATTAGTCCTGTCAGGGCTACTTGTTCCAGCAAAACAGGTAGCTGAGTTGGGTTGAGCTGTGTGGTGTTTGTTTCTGGCCTGATAGACAACATTTTTTTTTTTTTTTTCCTCAGACTCTGTGCAGTGGCACAGAGTAGGTTGCCAAATTATAACTCTCTGATGGCAGCTTGACTAGTTGGTAATATGGGCACCTTTCTCTCCTGATACATAAGTGACCCTTAAGCCACCGCAGCAGGCTCTCTTACTGGTGGTTTCAGTACAGAAGTTGGCTCCTACAATACTAAGTGCTCTCCTGCTTTGTGGACCTGGTGCTTCCTATTCAAAGCTGAAGCAGGCTAGTGAGCCGGTTTGGTCACAGCTATATTCTGGCAAATGGCAAGGTTTACATCAGTGAAGTTCTGCAGAATTGCAAACATTGCTAATGCGAACGTAGTGTAATGCACGAGTGTGCCATCAAAACTCTGCTTTTGTGGGTTTAGCTTATTCCTTGTTCCCCAAGGGAAAAAACTACTTTAGGAAACACTAATTTCATTTACATAGGAAAGATTTTTGTCTGCTTTTGGCACACTGATGTTTTAATGAAACCTTTTAATGTATGACAAGGGAGCTTTTAGGTAGTCTAACCTTGCTGAATTAGTCACCAGCATGTGTATCTGCTGGTTAGTAATTGAGGATGAAGGTATAGTTAAAAGGTAACTTTTTGTCTTCTCCTTTGAAAATGTTAAGTGGTGATCAAATGTTAATATTTGTGGTCATGTGTGAAACAGTAGGTAATGAGAGAATTTAATTACTCAGGTTTAATTGATTTAATTGACTGGGAGCGTACTATAATACGAGCTTTGGAGTTACAAGATACTGTGTAGTGCAGCTCCTGATTCTGTGCTCTTCTGTTTTGTGCAGTGGTTTTGAACCTTTGGTGCAGGGAGAGTGATGTTGGGATAGAAGTAAAGATGTTCGGGACTCTTAACTGACAACCACTTGTCTTGCTATGGCCAGGAAATCGTCTGAATAGCAACTATCTAACAATAATGAAGAGCCATGTGAAGTCTGTTAATCACTTGGGAATCATACTGAAGTTTATGTATTTGTGTTAAAAAACAAAAAGCCACCCTCCCCACCCCCCAAAAGTCCCCAAACTGTGTAGTCTCAGAAATGTGCAAGAAATAGCAGAAGCTTGAGTTCTGTAGATTTTGTTCTCATTCTGCCTTGACAGGGAACAGTGACTTGCATAATTAGACTACTTGCTCCTAAAAAGCAGAGTGTAACAAGTTAGATTTATATCAGTCCAAATGCAGTCAAATTATTTGGTAGAACAAGTGGAAATAGTGCTATTTTACAATGTAGGGTAAATGCTATAGTTTCATACATTTTCAGTTACTTACTGGCCACACTTTCAGTACTACTGATAACTCAGAACTCATCAATGCATACAAGGGTTCTAAGGCAATAGAACATAAAGCATTTTTGTTTTCTTTGCTGGTGTTGACATTCCTTGTCATACCAAGCCTTACTCATACTGGCTTGGAGATAGTTGTTAAAGGTTGTTTTCACTGATGCTTTTTGCATAGGAATTATTGTTCTCTCCTTCCCTACTGTAATCAAGTAAAGCCTTATGGAAATACACCTCTAAGCTTGGCAGGTTATTTTATGCTTATCCAGGTATGACATAACTTAGCCTGAGGTTTGCAATGCCCAGTTTCTGTGACACCACAACTTCATTTTACTTCATGTTAGTCAAAGATATTTCACATATCTGCACTGGCAAAGTGTATGTTTTTTGCCTGTTGACCTTTCTGTGAGGTCTCCAGAACTCCTGACTGCTGTATGGGTGCAGAGATCCCTGTCACCTCTGTAAAGAAAAGGTTTGCCGTTGTATACGTACAGCCTTGGACTTCACATAGCTAATTTTTGCTGCAATGCTGTAGATTGTTTTGGAGGAAAGCAAAGATTAAAAATGCAATTCTTCTACTTGGCAGCTATCACGATGCATTGAATCATTCTGAGATCTCTGTTATTTGTAGTCTGTAGCCATGTGTGCTTTTTTTTGTGTTATGTGGGGTGCCCCAAGGGTGTTTCTTTTGTTGGATATGAAGGAGGAGTGATTTTTATTTAATAATTATTACACTACTTATCAACAACCTAGGGGAGGGCTCAGTGCAAAATGTAGCAATACTGGCTGCAGCTACAAGAAAGGGCCTAAATACTGTCGAATCACGGATCGCCTTGACAATCCTGCTAATAGTTTTCAGCTTATGAGTGGCTAACTGGCTCACAAATTTCAATGGGGAGAAATGTGAGGGAATGAGGCCAGAAGCTAGGGCTACTCATGGGGATTATGCTGCAATGCACATGGGAGTGTGAGGGACAATATGCAGCTGCTGCTGTAGTGTTGGAATTAGCTTTAGGACTCACGTTCAGATCGCCTGAGGCATCCAGTGGTTCAGTCCAATAACAGATTTATGTGTTTCTACTTCATAACAGCTTGTCATGCAGCCCAGCAGTGAGTGACAGCTTATCAGAGAGTGCTGCTGCACACCATCCAGCCTTCACAGTTGTGTGGAGAAGGCGGATGTGCAGTGATAAAGAAGAGGTGTTCGAAGGGAGAGAGGAGGTCTTCCAATTCCTGAACTTGAGATAGCACAGTCATGTGTCTGAGGAAGGGAAAGCAACTAATCATATGACTGAGAAATCCATCTGAGATTTTATTTTTAATTTGGTTTAAATCCCTTTAAGGATTGGAGGAGGATCCTGCATGAAAGTCTTGGAAAGTGTCGCATTGAATCTTGCTTGATTAGATCTGGGCTCTGTTCCAGAGCTAATCAGGGTAATGTTATGAAGCAAGATTGCTGCTTAGCAGGGAAAGAAAGGGGGCATCTGTTTGCAGTGAATTTAGTTTAGCAGTATATTCTAAGGAACTGGTTTGGGGTCTTTTTTGTTTGTTTGTTTGTTTTGCTTTTTTTATAAAAATACTTGATTCTTAAGGACTTGTGTTTTCTGTTCTTTCAGGATAGCAGTGGCTCATAGGACAATGTTCCAGAGAGGAGAGGTGCATAACAAACCTACTGGCTTCTGGGGAATGATAAAAAGTGTTACAACATCTGTTGCAGGCAGTGAAAGTATCCTTCATCTGCATGTTGGCACCTGCCTCAAGAGGTGTCTCCAGCTTTCTTCTGTTTCAAAAGGAAGAGTGTTAGTTGGGCAAGTTACAAAGCATTTGTGTTCCAACACGTTTCAGCAGTCTGAGAAAAAGGCTTAATGTTTCCTGGGAAGTTTGCTCTCTAGCACTGTGCTTTCTGACCTTTTGCCCAGGAGTTGGGCACATAGTTTTGTTGTGACACAGTTGGGAGTTGTATGCTGCTGCCCTGCTCTATAAAAGCGCTGTTGGGTCACCCCAGTTGAGGTGTACAGCAGATCGCAGGACAGACGCGCACACTTATGGTGTCACATTGCAGATGTCTCCCCTATTGTATCCCTGATGCAGGAGGCAACTGTCTATCCTGAAGTATCTTCTGCTCACATGACTGACCTACACACATATTTTTTCTTATCTTGAAATATGCTTTTTGGGGACAGAGAACCTGTGATGTACTTGAGCAAAATAGTGGGGTCGGCTGAGGTGCTGAAACAATTTACCTATCCTGTGGTTGACTTTCTGGCCATGCTGGAAAGTTGTGAGAAAAAGAAGGGCAGGAGGCAACTTGCTGACCAAGTAAATTGTTCTCATGACATAGGCTGGCCATTGGTTCTATAGCAGTGTGACAAAAGGGTGCATAGGAACACCTGAACAGAAGTTCTGCCCATGCAAAAGGGGTGGAAGTAATCTGTTGGGAATTACAAGGGTCTGTATTGCTCTAATTTGCAGTTGCTCAACAACAATTTCTGCCAGACCACCTAAAGTGTGCAGTTTGCATATTCAAGGCTGCGGACTTCTCCTTTCCTCCTAGCTGTTAAAAACGGAATTTGGCTGTCTAACAAGACTCTTCATAATAACTATTGATCCCTTGGAGCAGTTACTCAGCAGTTATGAAGTTGATGTAAGAGTGACATATTGTGAGATGCACTTCAGTGACAGGAGACACTGATTGAAGTGGAGCAGCGGTCTGTGTGAGCTCTGTTTCTATTCTGCAGTGTGTTGCCCAGGCAGAGGAATAAGGAGCTTGTTGTATGACTGCCTAAACACTGTGTACTCCCTACCTTCTTAAAACGCAATAGTGTGCAATATGTGTATCCTTGGGTTTTCTTTGGGTACAGTATTAACATGGAGCATTAAGACAGAATCAGAAAAACTAATCTGGATCCAAAAAGTGGCCAAACCGTTAGATGTGGCCCTTGAGCTGAAGATGGGGAATGTTTTGGGTTTAACTAAGAATTTGTGATGTATTCTAGCCTTGACTATGCTGGTTTGACAGATCTGTCCCTTATCCAGCAAGAAGTGGATGCCCTAGAAGAGCTGAGTCGGCAGCTTTTTCTGGAAACTGCTGACTTGCATGCAACAAAGGTACACAGCAAAGTAACTGCCTGGATGAGTGTTGGGAAGCCAGAGCAGTTTGAAAGACAATGTTTGTTACAAGAAATTGAAAGCTGTTTAGTAGGTAAATGTTGAAATGTAGTGATGCAGTGGGATGGGGATCCTTTTCTTTCATTTGTCTTCTAGATAGCAGTTTCTTACAGTTAAAATACATATTGGCATATGCACTGTGTTCCTAAAGCCATTCAGAAACTTTTGATTTAAGTCTTTTGAGTTCAAAAACATTTGAATTAAGAGGTTTAGAAGGATAAAGCTGTGTTTGCTGCTGTTGACACTCGATTAAAATTTTATGTTGTGGATGATCGTGGAAGTGATACATGTTGTGTTCTGTTCCCCCTCCCTCCTTTTGTATTTCCAGGAGAGAATAGAGTACTCCAAAACTTTCCAGGGAAAATACTTTAATTTTTTGGGTTATTTTTTCTCTATCTATTGTGTCTGGAAAATCTTCATGGTATGTAAATATTTTATTGCATTTTATGTGGACATCTGCAAATGTCACACCCTGCATAGGTTATCCTTTATATGCAGTTCATCAAGTAATGCTCCAGTTTCTTTAAAAGTCCTGCTTTTGGCAGTTCTGAAAGAAACTGTTCCTTGGTTGAAATAAGGCTCTGGATCTGTCTTTTTCAACAGAGCATAAGACAAGCAGTTCTTATATGTGTGCATTTTACACCTTAAAATGTGCTCTTTACACCTTAAAAGTGTGCTCCCTGCCCCTTACTGTGGTGATACAAAGTTAAGAGTCTTGCACATATCTCATGTGTAACAGTGAGGTATGCTTCCGTTTTCTTGTTTGAATGTAGTCCATCTCTCTCTTGCAGGCCACCATCAATATTGTGTTTGACCGTGTGGGGAAGACTGATCCAGTCACAAGAGGAATTGAGATCACTGTAAATTATTTGGGAATCCAGTTTGATGTGAGACTTCATTAATTCTTACAGCCTTTTCAGCGGTTCCTGTCTTATCTAAAGAAAATCATACTGCTATTAGGGAGAGAGCAATAGAGCCCTGAGAACGTGTCTTTGACTTCTGATCTGTTCAGGAGGAAGGGAAAATGCACCGTGGACTTTGCTTTCACACTGATTTCATGCTGGGATGGTAATGTGCTCTTGCCAGAGAGGTGGTGATTTGCTTGTTTGTTTGGGGCAAATGGAAGCACACTAGTTGACTTGCTTAGATTAATACATTTAACTGCAAGTAGTTATGCTTGCTTGGGCACAGAGGTGTTCTGTCATTTATACTTTTTAAATATATCCCTGTGAATACGGGATTCTTTGTGATTGGTGTAAGCTAAATCTGTTTTTCTCATGTGTTTGGAGTAAACAGTTGCCAATATATTTGTGAAAATATCTGTTATATAAACTTGTCTACAATGGATATCTGTACAATTAGGAAATACAAAGACCCTAAAGAATTGGCAGCTATACAATGTGGTGTAAATGGGGTTAGTGTTAGAGATTTAACTGTATTATTCCTGTTGATACAGGTGAAATTCTGGTCTCAGCACATTTCCTTTATTCTTGTTGGAATAATCATTGTTACCTCTATCAGAGGATTGTTAATCACGCTTACAAAGGTAAGAGATGGGACTCTTACGAAGTTTTGGACCGGTAAAGCTGTCATCAGATCTTTAATTCTAGATATGACAAATACTGTATAAACTTTCAGTAGATGTTTAAATACTTGAATATAAATACTTGCAGAGAGAGGAAGGGAGAAGAAAAAATACCTTCTGCGGGGTATTTCTGCACTCAGTTTCTGTTGTTATTACTGTTGGGAACAGATACAGATGTTAGATGTTAAATGTAAAAAAAGGGTTCAAAATGATGCTGTAGCCAGGGCTTATTAGTAAGGTTGATGAGATGCTGATTAAAGAATATATATTGCTTAATTTTATTGCTTAATTGCTGGTAGATCTGGAAAGTCATTAACTCAGGAGGCATGTGACTCGTTGTCTTGATCTGACTTTTGGTACCTGAGCTTAAATTTCAGTATAATATCATTATGTGACTTCCATCACATGGTATCACTGGCTTCGGGAGTTCTGTGTTTAAAACTAAGACTGCAGGTTTCTGAAAGTAGGGTACAGGAACGTTTCCAGAAAGTATGATTTTTATTGTGGTTTTTTTTTTAAAGATGAATAATTATTGAATAGTATGTACATTTCATGCTGTCTTAAGGCATATCAGACTTAGCTGACTGCTTATTTCCAGTGTTGTTTTTTTTTTCCTAGTTCTTCTATGCCATTTCCAGCAGCAAGTCCTCCAATGTTATTGTTCTACTTTTAGCACAAATAATGGTATGTACAACCATGGGTGTGCCTACATGCATTTATGCATGCATACATGTTTGTGTGTGTCTACATATACATGTAATAAAATCTTTGTATGGTGACCTGTGTTGGCCATGTAGCCGCTTGTGAAACACTAACTACTTTCTCTTTTGTAATTTACAGGGTATGTACTTTGTGTCATCAGTGCTCCTGATCCGTATGAGTATGCCTCTAGAGTACCGCACTATTATTACAGAAGTCCTGGGAGAGCTCCAGTTCAACTTTTATCATCGTTGGTTTGATGTGATATTCCTAGTTAGTGCGCTGTCCAGTATCCTCTTCCTCTATTTAGCGCACAAACAAGCCCCGGAAAAGCATATGGCCCTCTAAGGAAGGACTGCAGTCCTGCACTGCTCCCTGGCCTTCCAACTGCACTGCTGCAACTCCCATGGACTGCAAAACTTGACGAGAGCCAGGACTGTTCTGTCTGTTCCAGCAATGTAACTGGCTCTTTGAACTTCCACACGTCATCATTGAGCTCTGTGGCTCAGATGCCAGAGCTTGAAGGAAAAGAGATGCATGTATGGGATGCGAGATAGTTCATTGCCAAGGGATAAGGGCATTCCTTGGTATGCCAATATCTAGGGACATTGGAACTTGCATAGGAGGCTGTCTGAGACAATGTCTTTTACTGTTGGAAGAACATCTTCATAGAAGGCACCAAAGAAATGTGATTTTTCTTTTGAAAATTGTCTTATAATTGATATTCAGAGGATGGCAATTGTGGAGTTGAATGTTTGAGTCCGTGGAATTAAATAAGTTTTTGTTATATCTCATGCAGGCATCACAGTTGTTTTTTGTCAGCCCCAGAGGTTTGGCTTGGAGGTAAGTCACTAGGATTTGCTGCCTGGCACAAGTAAAGTAGAGAGAACTTCATTCCATTTCGATGTGGAGTGAATGCTGGCGAGTGTCACTAGTACCTGCTGGCCTTGGGAGCTGGAGATTAGCTTTCTGTTGCCAAGCCTCAACCTTGTTTTCTCTCCCTGCCTAAATAGAACTGAGCTTTTGGATTCCCCTTTGCTAGAATTCAGTGTGAAGTCAAAGACCACAGCTATGCCTTTATATGTTTACTTTATATGTTACAAATTCGTTTACCTTATGCTGTAAATTTAGTGTTCCTCACAACCTGTGTATTCTTCTACAATAGCTCATTTCCCCTTTTTGATGTAATTCAAGGCATAAAAGTAAATTTCATTCATGTGACTTAAACTTGTAGCTTCCCATAGCCCCTCTCCTAGGCATTTTTTGTTGTAAAATTGTTCTGGAACATAAATCATGAATGGTAAGAGTAAAACCTGGGGAGGTAAAAACAGCCACTCCAAACAATTTATTTCTGTATTGTCTTCAGTGTACAGCAAGGAAACTAAGTATACAGCAGCAGTATTACAGAGTCATTTATGTCACATGGAAGACAATGTGGCATCGACTTGGAGTTAGACAGACCTGCATGACTGAATCATATATGCTCTTCTAACTACCGTTAGCCAGAACTGTATGCAGAGAGAGAATAGTGCTTAAATGTCTTGAGTTATGAACTTAGGTTAATGTCTGAAAGAAATTCCTGCAGTGGAAGCAAGAGAAAGGAGTGTAATGCAAAGTATGTTGGCTTATGCCACTTCACAGCAGTCGTAATGCTGTAAGTATAGCATAGAAGAGTTACCGCAGAGATTGAGTTGATGGACTTGGATTAGGAGGAGAACTGCCTCTCCCAGGAGATGGGGAGAAATCAGTTACTCTTAATAAAAAGCTTATCCTTAAAAGGCTGAGATGCTTACAAATAGCCTGCATAGCCAAATCTGCAGCCTTCTGCTGCAGTGTACTTAATTATATACTTGTAGTTATTTAAACCTTTACAGAAGTAAGGGACTAAGTGACTGGTTTACAAGGCAGAAAGTGTGTTAAATGAACACAAGTTACTCTGAAGGGTTTATTTTGGGCAGCTGCATTTCAGCAAGAGATTGCAATCCTTTACAGGTATGGCACTTCTAGGAATAGTCAAGATCTGGGAGATGTAGTAGCAAAGATGAATTGAAGAAAGGATTTGGAAGGTTTCTTTTTTTGTTCTTGGCATAGTTTGTCTTCTCACAACTTTGTATCATCGTTGTCACTGTCTGCTCTTGTAGAGGCAGCTGATAGTGAAGAGAAGGATGAGCTTGCCTGCAGAGAAGTAACAAATATGTTTTCGTTATTTTTAGTTTGTAAGCATGCTTGATAGTCTCCAGTGTTATGAAAGACTCCTGTTTATACCTGCACTAATCATGTACTTGTTTGGATGGCAGAATGAACCAACAAATGTGATTTTTATTTTTGATGTGTATTTTTTGGTTAAGTACATTTAGGGAGATATTTGTTCAATAGAGTTTTTCTGTTGTTTAATTCCCATACCTACTGACTTTGCACAGGAAAGTGGTGCTAACTTCAGGTCTGCAAAATGTAGCTTGGTGACTAAGAAACTTGAACAAGCTTGCAGCTGGATATTTGCAGACAAGGCTAATGAAAAATGAATAGGAGACAGTATTGGTCTGATTGTTCCTTGTCTGTCTTTTTTGCATGATCAGAAAAGTGTTTAAATATTTAAGGGTGACCACACAGAGGGTTCAAAAGGACGGTTTCAGGAAGAAATACCTTCCTGCTTTTCTGATTTATGTCATTCTTCAGATTCTTTCTAATGGCATGAAGGGAGTAAAATAATTTCATATCAGCACATTTCCTAGAAAACACCATCAGCCTATCAGTTGCTCTTTCTTTTACAAAATAATTTGTTTTGAAATATTTCACCCGATTCCCCCAAAAGTGGCTTATGCTTTTCGGTGTATTTAAGCAGTTCTTAGTTGCCCTTTCAGGATTGTATTGCTTGTTGCCCATCTTCATTAAGGATACTGTATTTGGATTATCTTGATCTCTAAAATCTCTTGTAAGTGCATCCTTTCTGTGGTTTCATCTTGCATTAAAGAGATGTGTGGGGAAAGGAAGAGTTGTTCATGATAATCAGACCACAGCTTCCTCTTAATGACATAGGCTGACTTGTTAAAATCCAGGCTCAAAGTTAAAAATCCTAGCTCAGGAATATATATTACCTGAAAAAGGTGTCTATCTCCTACGTGATCCCTCAACATCTGCTTAATGCAGTATTACTCACCCTTTCCCTTGATTCAGGTGAGCTTCTCTCGGGCTCTGACAGGTGATTTTCTGTATAAACAGGAGGTTCAGAAATGTCATGGATGGGATCTGCCATAGAGGCTGTGATGGGAATGTTCTGGCTTTGGAAGTATGTGTAAGCATCTTTGCTGCACACCAGTAGTGTTAATCTGTCACCGGTATTTTTGATTCTTGACACGACGTTGTCGTAGGATTCATTGATCACATTCACTCCATTCACTTCCACCAAAAAGTCATTATTTTCTACACCTGCTGTGTCAGCTGGCCCTTGGCTTTGTACCTGCAAAGGCAAGCTCAGATGTTGGTGTTAGCATAAAACTTGGAAAGATGCATTAACAACTGCTGGTTAGCATTTCTGGGGCAGAAATGAATTGGGAGAGGCAATAGGCCTAAGCATGATAAACATGGAACTCATCCGTTTGAGAGTTAAGATGCATCTTGATTTTGATAGACTTTTGCTATAGATAAGTAGCATGGTAGAATCAAGAACAAAGGTAGAATACTAGTTTTCTTATTTGCAGGTCCCCATCCAGTAACTGTAACTTTACTACATTACACAGATTCCTTAATAATGATTGGAGCCCCTCCACTCAAGAAAGCTGAAGGCCCAGACATAACTTGAGACAGCAGAGGTTTAACTTTTGCCAGCTGGACTTGAGAGGAGGGGGGTAGGGCGAGGCAAAGGTATCTCTTATATTTAGGATGTTCTACAGTAAAAAAAAAAAACAAACGGTTTACTAATTCTAGCATGCCACCTTTGTGAGTAAAAGCAAAAATGATGCAGAAGCTTGATTCTCCTTCCCTGTAGGCATCTAACAGAACAAGGAATGTTTTCTGGTGCTTATTTCTTATCTTGGTCCTACAATGTTGGTCTGACTTTAACAATTACAGCTCTTATCTGAGACCACTGGAGAAGCGATTTATGTTTTGTAGCTTTTCTTGAATGTATTTGCAGGGTGAAAGGGAGGAAGCTGTCTGACAGATGACTTGAGCTTTTCCTTGTTCCTCATTCTACATTAGTACCTGGGTGATGAACAGTCCTGGCTTGTTCTTGATCATGTTTAAATTGAAGCCAAATCCACTGGGGCCTTTCACCATCTTGCAAATTCTTGGCTTGTGGTTCACTTTCTGCTCAGTGTGTTCGCTCTTTCCTCCCTTGTAGCTGGAGTTGGATCTTGTGCTTTGTAGTAGTATGAGAACGGGGACATTTGAGCCTGAAAAAAATTGGCAAATAGAACTTATTAATATAAAAACTTCTGTTCTGAAATCTGTATTAGGCTTTCATGCTCAACGTATTATGTTTGAAACCTTTTTAATGACTCAGATTTGAGCTGCAATGAAGAACTCTTTGCTGTTAATTTCTGACTGAGTGAAAAACTACAGTGTTGGTCTGTATGAGAGAGAAATTTTGTTGCTTGTTTTGTTCATAAATGGTTATGCAGCCACGTAGCTCTGAATTTACTGTCTTAAACTTAGAGCCTATAAAAATCTAGAAGAGACCAACAATTTGTGTGTTTAGTGACTTGCTGTACAAGTGCTGAAATATGGACGTTATCTTCGACATTCATGCAAGTTGAAGAAGTGTCTCTCAGAGCAGACTGGCCTCCTCATAATGACAAATTACCAATTCTTAGTGGTGGTTTGCATTTTCTTACCAGTTTATACATGGCATTGGTTTCCTTATCTGCTACCAACAGTGTGGTTTTTGCCTCACACTGCTTAATTTTTCGCACTACACTTTCATGATCCAGGCCGTCCACTTGCTCGCCATTGACAGCGACTAAGATATCATTGTCTTTGAGATCTGCCTTGGCTGCCGGGCTCTCAGAATCAATATCCTTGATGACGTGATCTAAGAGGAGAAGGGAAAAAAGACTGGTGTGAAGGCGTGTGCTTGGGAAGTTTCAAGACGTTAAAATGTGTGGCAAAGGTTAAGTGCCAGGATTGTGCTTCAGGTTGGGACCATTTCCCTGATGTTGCCCTGTTTGCAACACCTCTGTATAGGTCTTCTAGACAACCAGTAAGAAGCCAAAGAGAATGAGGTCCGCACAACTTGTGCAGGAGGCAACTGTATAGTAAACGTCCTGGTCTGTGTGCTAATTTGATTCTTACCCCCTGTATTTTGTTCCATCCGTAGGTAAAAGCCATAACCACTTTTTCCTTTCTGGATCTCGATAAGTCGCGGTTTGAAGGGAAGCCGTCTTAGGTTGGCGCTCTCTTTGCTTAGCACCATCTTCTGGCTTACGTAATACTGGTCCGTTTCTTCATTTGAAAGTAGAAACATAACGTGATTTTCAAACTCCTTTACCTGTGATAGAACATGCACAGTCTCAGATGTTACCCTTTAAACAAGAAGTGCAAATTGTAGATACTTGCATAGTTTCTGTGCTGATATGTAGCAGTGTGTGGATGCCTGATGAATGAACCATAAGGTGCAGGTCATGCTACTGTAAGTTTCCCCCCTCCAGTCAGAAATTTGAACCATGACAAGATTTTAGGCATGTAAGATCCAGCACATATATGAGGAAATTTTCTGGATTACGTACAGTTCCTGATCTCTAGGGAACTAGCTGTAGAGTTCTATGAAGGTGGCATGCAGTGCCAGCAGAATGCAGTGAGCCTCAGTAGAGGGTGCTTACCTTATCTAGACATGGAACTCTACATACAGACATATCATACCATCTGTACCACTACTGTAAATTACAGTCAGGTTTTTAACTCTTAGTCCACTTCTATTCCCCTGTGTTACTGATTCTGAGAGATTTTGGTTTTCTGGTTGTTTTTTGGTTTTTCTTTTTTTTTTGGTCTGTTTAACCTCTCCAAGTCCATCCTGTTATTCCTCCATAGTCTAATGGGTGTTCCTTTTACTGAACTAACATTACTTTGCTGATGGTGTTACAGTAGCTTAACAAAACACAGGTGTCGCACAGTTCTGTAGTTAGTAGCGTGCACAGAGTTGCGATGTTGGAATGCCGGAGCACATACTGCCTCTCTCACAGCTCTCTGAAATCCCTTCAGCTCCAGCTGTGTTTGACCAATGCCAATAGTGGAAGGCTGGAAGCCTCATTAGCAATATTCTTTGCAGCTGAGGCCAGGTAGTGAAATTACTTGCACAGTAATTTTCATTAGTTTTAGACTTCATAGCAGGAGAAAGGGACAGTTGTCTAAAATTGTGAATTTTCCCTCTTCTATGCTAACGGTATCATCAGAAAGTTCCCCTCTTCCTGCCCTGAAAACCACATTTGATGGCTTGCCCTCTTACCATTAGGAGTATTTCCAAGACTTTTAGGTACAGAGCATGATTTATTGAATAGGGTTACTGGCAGCAGTATACTTGTGTTATTTAAAATTCTTTGGCCTGTCTTGATGGCAGTATTCATTCAGAGTTGGTTCAAGAGGGTGCTTGACATCAGAGCCAAAGCAGAGCAGTACTCTGCTGTGTTGATGCTGCACAAACAGTAGCTTCCAGGATTTACTGCGAAGCATTCGAATCGACCAGACCTGCCTCCTCGGTAACCCTGATAGGTCGTTGTGAAAATGGGCCAGAACAGAAGATGAATCAGTATACAAACAAATACCTTTTCCACCACTTCCTCGTGTGTGTTGTTTTCCACGTTTTTTCCATTGATTTCAATCAGGCGATCGTTATTTTGGACACCAGCCTTTGCAGCTGCTCCTTGTGGTAAAAGCTCTACTATGAATGACCCCTTTTGTCCTAAAATAAATTAAAACTCATTACACAGGATAAATCACTGAAATATGCCTGTATTTAATGGTTAAGGAAACTCAGCACTGTTGTCCTTAGAGACTCTTGGTGTGATTACAGTGACACCACAAACATTCCGCATAGACACACCTCTCTCATTCTGTGCTGGAAAAATCACTTCTATGGGGAAGGGAAGCATTTGTTCGCTGTCTGCAGCTCAAACAACATGTTATTCCTTGACCAAGAGTGCTAAGGTGTCTGATTAAGATAGCTGGAAAGGATTTGATTCCTTTCCCTTTTCCTCCCTTCTGCCCTCCTGGCCCAAATTTGAAGGGAAGAGTTGGTTTTGTTGTTGTTTTATACATTTCATAACTTTGTGTTTGTTTTCTCTGTTTTGTCCTCTAGTTACATTGCATTCCAAACTACGCTCTTTAGAGGTGATGCTTTCCAGAGGGCTTTCCCTATTCAGTTGACTGGCCTTGGAAGAAAGACATATGTGGAATAGGTTCAAATTCCCTTTCTTTCTTAATGACTTAAGTTACAAATCAGGAACAATGTTTATTACAGCTGTCTAGAACTTTGTGTGCTGATTTCTGAGATGATTTGGAGGAATAGAACAACTTAGTGTAGTATCTTGAGTGTATATTTTGTATTTGAGTGAGGGGTGCAAGTTTGGTTTTTGTAAGTGGGCTTAAATAACGAGCAGAAAATAGCTTATTCTTTTTATCTCTTTTTCTTTTTTTTTTAAATTTTATTTTTCTCCAAATCTTCAACCCCTAAGAAATGTGTTCCTCAGAAAACCATGCACTGCATATATGGTGCAGAAATGGACCTGGTGCAGATGGATCTGAACTCATCTTGTTGCTTCTCATTTTCTTTCTGATAGCAAGAGCAGTTTGTGTGTCTCCGCTGGCCCCATCTGTTAATTGTAGTTGCCTCTGTTCCTTCTGCCATATGTATTTATATGTGTATATATATACACACACACATACATGCATACACGCACACACTCTGCCATCTCTTGTCCCCAGGCTCACCTATGGTTTTCAGAGAGAAGCCGTAGCCTTTCTCCTCCTTTACTAGGTAGCAGAGTCGGGGTTGTGGAACTGCAGTGATTGCTCCATTGTCCATGGGCGGCAGGGACTGCTGCTGTCCTGTTGACACCTTTTGAGTCAGCTCTTCCAAGTTCACTCCCTCCTTTTTTGCCTTTTCATAGGATGTGCCATCCAGAACAAGAAGTACAATAGAATTCCCGCTGGTTTTGATAATCTCCACCACCTGTAGTGGAGAAGGTGAAATGGCAAGCAGGTGCTAGAGTAATGGACCTAAAAACTTTCCCCAAGAAGGGTTGCATTGTCTACTATTTTTGTTGTCTCATCCTTCTGCTTAGGCACTTCAAAGACATTTTGTGTCCATAATGGGTAAGGAATGATGGAGGGAGATACTCTAAGCAGTTGACTCAACTCTCGGATTTCCTAGTCAAAGATGCCATAAAAAGAGAAAGCTTCACATAGTGACAGTGGATCTTGGTAATGGGGACATGGATCCCAGACTAAACAGAGATGTACCTGTGCATGGTCTTCCTTGTCTACAAACACACCATTAACCCTGAGGACTCTGTCTCCATCCTTCAAGCCAGCCTCCTCTGCTGGACTGTTCTTTTCCACGTTCCGGATGAGATGCCCTGCTGTGTCTTTCTCAATCCGAAGGTAGAATCCATAGCTCATCTGGGGCTTTTTTGTCATTACACATTCTCGGGGCTGGAGGACAGAAGTCATCTCTACCAGACAGGATGGAAAAAAAGTGTAAGCTCACCTAGATATGTTCCCTCTAAATACAAACTGAGGCAGTTTGCTTCAGAATTCTTGGGATTTCATTTCCCAGAAAATCCAGTGGTGCAGAGTTGAATCTAGTTAAGGCTAGGAGGGAAGAAACCAATCCCTCTTCCGCCTTTCCCTTCGCAAGATGCAGAACTGGAAGAAAGAAGTTGTCTGCCTGTGATAACATACTGAAAACTGAGGTGAGTTTTTAATACCAGAATGAAGTCTTACAGAGGAAAAATACTGGCAGCACAAAGATACTGGAACGCTATAGGAAAGTTATGTGACAAAATGGGATTTCACAGAACTGTAGAATGGGCAAGGTTGGAGGTCATGTGTTCCAGCCCCCCAGCTCAAGCAGGACCACGTAGAGCCAGTTCCCCAGGACCAAGCCCAGATAGCTTGTGATGAATATCTCCAAGGAGGGAGGCTCCATTACCTCTCTGGGCTCTTTTTTCTTCCAGCTGGGTTTGATGCTTAAGTCTCAGTTTTCATATGAAATGGGATGCTTGCTTTATTTCTGTGTTCTTTAGAAGTTACTGATAGAGTCAAAGTTCTTGGAGCTGCCCATGTTTGCCTCTGCCTCTGAATCCTAATTAAGCAGTCTTTGATTCTGTTATAAAGAGGAACGAACGGAGCTGTTTCACTTTGATATGTCATTATGTGTGAGATCTGGGTAAGATGAATGCAGGTATTATGAAGTCTAATGAAAGCGTGGAATGTTCAGAATACACCTAACAATGTGAACGTGCCATAAGGTAATCGTGTGCAGGAGAGGTAATTTAACACTGCCTGTTCTGTGTGGAGCAAAACAGAGAGTTGAGACAGTATGCTTACCTTGCAATTCTCATATGAATCCTGGAATGACCATAAAGCCTCAGTGTGCTGCCTGACTAAAAGTTTATCTCCAACCCTCATGACTTTAACATTGACACGAGATGTAATCAGTATAAAACTGTGACATTGTGTGAGAAAGTAAAGAAAAGAAATTTGGTTCAGAAATGACAGGCTGCTGCAGTAACTGCAGTAGTTTGATTCAAGTGATTCCTCGATGAATTTGTGACAACTGGAGCAGAATTTCCAGTCAGTGTCTCCAGGGTGCTATGTTACTTCCCCAGAGAATTTGAGGCCACCTGGTTAAAGAGTATACTTGATGCTGGGGATTGCTACCAGATTGCTATTAGGCAGTGACCTTTGTCCTCTGGAGGTTTTGGAGCAAATTCTCCTGGAACTGTGTCAAGGCACATATGCCAAAGACAGGAAGGTGTTTGGGATCAGACAGTGTGGGTTTGCTTGTTTATGATACCTGATGAACCCGATTGCTTTACCTGACAAGTGGACTGTCTCTGTGACAGGCAGAGCGCAGTGGATACTGTTCACCTTAACTTTTGCAATGACTTTGATACTGTCTCTAGTACAGACAGTGTAGCCAATTTGGTGACACATGTACTGGATAAGCAGACTACTAGATGATGCAGAAAATTGGCTAGGCCACTGGGTTCGAAGGGGTTTGATCAGTGGTATATAATCCAACTGTTGGCCAATTATTAGTGGCATTCTTTAGAGGTTCGACTGGGGCTGATACCATTTAACATCTTCATGATACGGACAGTGAGACAGACAACATCTTCATCAAGCTGATAGAGGATACCAAATTGAGGGGGAGCAGTCAATAGCCTGGAGGTTAGAGTTGCTATTTAGAGGGACCTCAGCAGTCTGGAGAAATGGGCTTACAGGGAACTCATGAAGCTCAACAATGAAAAGTGAAAAAACAAATTTGCATCTAGAGCATATACAATATAGGCTGACTGCTGTCTGACCAGAAGGCAACGTTGCTGGACAGCACTGAAGTGCCCAAATTGAACATGAGTCAGAGGTGTACCTTTGTGGTGAAGAAGGTCAACTGTATACTGGATGCTATCAGAATGTAGCTAGCAGGTCAATAGAAGGGATTGTTCCTTCCTCCTTGGCACTTGTGAGACCACATGTGAGTGCTGTCTCCAGTTTTGATTTCCCCAACTAATTAATGTATTGGAGCTAGTCCACTAGGGTGATTTAGGTTTTGGAGTGCAGTGTTTAAGGAGGCTGAGAGGGCTGGATTTGCTCAGGTTTGGGAATAGAAATCCCTACCAGATTGTGTAGAGAACACAGAACCAGACTGTTTTTGGAAGTTAACAGTGGTAGGATGAGAGGCAACAGACACAGGCTGCAGAAAGGGAAGTTCCAATTAGAAAGCCATAAGGACAACTCTTCATCTTGGGGGCTGTCAGATACTAGAACAGGTGCCCGGAGAGGCTGTGGAATCTCTGTCCTTGGAGATACTTACTTCGATGTGGCCGTGAGCAACCCAATCTAAGTTGGCCGTGTTTTGCATGGAGCATTGGACCGATGACCTCCCCCTTCTAACCTAGAGTGTTCTATGCTTTTATGATGTAATCAAACTCTGCCTTGGGATGATGCATATCATTAGCAGGAGTACTAAATACTGCAACTAAGCAATAGTTGTGACAAGGGAGCGACTCCAAAGATAGTTGTCTTAGTAACTCCTTCCAAAGATCCAAACAAGATCATAGAATCATAGAATCATAGAATGGCCTAGGCTGGAAGGGACCTTAGAGGTCATTTAATCCAGCCTCCCTGTCACCAGGGACACCACCTCTCGACTAGATCAGGCGACACATGGGGACCGATGAATAAAGACAACCTCCTCCAGGTAATGGTCAAACTTGATTTGTATTTTACTGGAAGATTTTTTTTCTGCCTTCCTCTACTGACAGAAGTCTGTCAAAAGGCCTAAATTGTGTTACAGGGATTAACCATTAATCACAGCCTGATGAATACTAAGAAAATTAATCTGTTTACATGTAAAGATTTCCTTACAACTCTGAGTTATTCTCTTTATATCACCTGTGTGACTAATGTATGTGGGAACTGGCCTTTTTTTCTTTTCCTTTTTTCAATAAAGTAGCTGACGATCAAATCCTTCCATAATAGCAGCCTACTGCAGAGCCACCTCTGTCTCTCTCACCCATGCTACAGACTGCTGTTGAACCTGAAAGAGCATTGTGGAGGTTAATTGGGCAGCATATAGAACAGTATGGATTAGTGGTGGTGGTTTGGCACAGATGCCACTGAAGCTGGAGAATACGGGGCATTTTGGCGTGCAGGGATAGGAATTCTGCAGATCGTGGTTCACTTGTTCCCCTTGGTCAGGTGCTTTGCGCTCTTTTTGAGCCTCTGTGTTGTTGCACTGGGACTAACTCCATCTAGGGATAGACTGCCCTATTATTTGGGCACTGCTGAGAACACATCAAACTGCATGGATTTCAGCTACAACTCCAAACATTTTTTTTCTTGACAAACATTGGGAATCTGTGCTAATTCCTGAAGTATACAAAGCTGAAGAAACAGTAGACTTTTATGGGAGAAGTTATTTCTTCAGTTAGAAATGGAGGACAGTTTACAGTGCACTGCATACTACTCTTTTTAATCCATGGAAGCTTTATATGAAAAATTAGTGGGATCATGAAAAAGAGTTTTTCTAAGGCAAGGGGGATGAGCAAAAAAGGAATTTCTTACCTGTATGTCTGTGTGGAGCAGCCGTCACAGGAATTCTCTTTTCCTATCCCTTCTGTGTCTGTACCTATAAGTAAGACTGGACTTTGATTGGACAAAGGTTGATTTAAAAGATGATTTATTTAACCAAGTTTCTCTGAATATGTTAAATCTATGATAGTCTGCCTTGCCCTTGCCTGCAGAAGTGCTAATCACATGCATTTCTCAGCAGCTTTGGAATTTGTTTTACTCATAGTCAAAAGCTCAGTCAAGGAGGTCATCTGAGGAAAGTCTGATCTTTGCTCTGGGCAAGAACCTTCTCCATCTATCAGAAATGTCTTAAAGGGATGTGCTGGTTTTGGCTGGGATACAATTAATTTTCTTCATAGTAGCCAGTCTGGGGCTATGTTTAGGATTTATGCTGAAAACAGTGTTGATAATTCAGGGATGTTTTTGTCACTGCTGAGCACTGCTCACACAGCATCAAGGCCTTTTCTGCTCTTCACACCACCCTACCGGTGAGTGGGCTGGGGGTGCACAAGAGGTTGGGAGGGGACACAGCAAGGACAGCTGACCCCAGCTGACGAAAGGGTTACCCCACACCACATGACATTATGCTTAGCATATAAAGCTGGAGGTGGAAGAAGCAAGGAGGGGAATATTCAGAGTGATGGCATTGGTCTTACCAAGTCACCATTACGTATGATGGAGCTCTGCTCTCCTGGAGGTGACTGAACACCTGCCTGCCCATGGGAAGTGGTGAGTGAATTCCTTATTTTGCTTTGCTTTTGTGTGCAGCTTTTGCTTTACCTTTTAAATTGTCTTTATCTCAACCCACAAGTTTTTTCACGTTTACCCCTCTGATTCTCTTCCCCCATCCCACCGAGGAATACTGAGCAAACGTGTTTGCTGTGTGTTGCTGAGTTGCTGGCTGAGTTAAACCAGGACGATCCTTTCTGGTGCCCAGCACAGGGCTCAAAGCATTCAAGATAATGACAAATTTGATTGGAATGTGCTAGATGGAATTTATAGCTGTTATTGCTGTTTAGCTATTAATTGACAGGCCCTGGTGCTTGCTGTGGGGCTTGCTTGCCTTACTGTATATTAGTCTAGTGCTCGTTAGTGACAGCTCTTTGCTTTCGCTGCTTGCTGCACTGCTTATCTCACTCTGCTGCGCCTGGGAACATTCCGATAACAGCAGTAGTGACGTGCCTGGGCTGGCAGATGGCCAGGAAATCACTGCTGTACTGGGCAGGCTGGAACTCCAGCATGAGCTCAAGTCAAAGGGAATGTCACCTGTGGATGAGTCCCTATGGGAGCAGAACACCCCAAAGTGTCTGTGGCAGTGAGTAAGTCCATGCCGGAGCAGG